GCAAACCCCACACCAAAAATAGTGCCGACACATGCCTGAGGAGAGATTGAAGCTATCAATGGAGGAGAGGATGTTGGAGGCCCAGGAGTATTGACATGCCTAAAATATGTTACTTTTATTTGCACATTTAATGAAAATTTTTAATGATATTGTGCTTTAATGAAAATAATTTTTGATTTTTTTGTTGTAGGTAAACTAAATGGAGCAAGTGGAACAAATAGAACAAATTAGAGTCAAAGAAAACAAAGTGGCCAATGTTGACTTGGCACCCAGGCACCAGGATTTAGCTCCTATGAGCCATATAACAGAGAACCTGGTGCCTAGGCGCCAGAGGCAGTTTTTCTAGATGATTCAATGAATGTGGATGAATTTTGAAGGGGTGTTTGAGGTAACTCTTGTTAATTTTGAGAGCTCTATTTGAAGAGACTTCTGGAGATTCAAAAGGGAGTTTTTTTAAAGAGAAAGGGAGTCTTCTTAGAGAGAGGAGAAATTCTTGGAGGCTTGCTTAGATTTGGAGGAGAAGAGGAAAAGTGAGAGATATCTTCTTCATTACAGTTCTAACTGAGATTGAAGTGGAATTGTATGGAGAGTGAGTGATTCTAACGAACTAGAAGGATTGTTTGGGAAGGGGTTTGAGATAAGTTGTGTATTTTGTTTATTTTACTTAGTTCTATTTTATGAACTTGTACTTATCTATAAATTCTTGTGTCGTTGTTTCTTCCCCATGAGATTTGAATAGTTTCATTTTTCTTTCTCCCTGCGATGAGGAATAACTATGTGTAGGAATTAAGTTTAGTAGAAATGCTTTTAATTCCATAAATTGCGATGGTTTAAACTATATATTAAAATTATTTATTGATTGGCCAATTGATTTATTAAAATATGTTGTGAAACATAGTGACCCAAAAGGGCCACGCTTTCCTCAACAAGGTAAGAATCACATTTAGTCTCATGGATGAGAATGTAGTCCATAGGGTTAAGTGCAAATAACTAGGGAATAAGTTTTGATGGGCGTAGAATTGGAGGTTTTAGAGTGATAGACTAAAATTTTCAATTTGGTCCAGATGTTTGGAAATTAAAGCGAGATGTTAGCCCTCAGTAGGTGAGAGGTAAGTGGGAACTCTAGAGTAACAGCTAGTATCTTTCCAGCCTAACCACAAATTTAGGGACTTAACTCTTGGTTAGTCAATGTTCTTTATGCATTTGAGAGAGGGTACATAATAGGTATGCTCATATTTGGCACAATACATTATATTTAATATTATTTGATTCATACACTGATTATAAACTCATTACAAGGGGAATGATGTTTTATACAAATTTGAACTGTTTGATACATTGTTAGTTTTGAATTTCTTAGTGGTAACTTTACATTTTAGCCTTTTTATATTGTTTTGCATTTACATTCTATGCCCATCAAAACTTATTCGGGACAAGTTTTTGGCGTCATTGTCGGGGATAACAAAGAAACATTTTTTACTTAGGAAAATTTTTAATTTTAACTGAAGAATTATTATAGGAAAACTATATTTTTGTTTATATATGTGCTTGTGTGTGTGTATTTAAATATATATATATACACACACACACACACACACACACACACACACACACACACGTGTTTTGTTTGTTTTTTATCTTTAACATTGTCTGTGTGGTACGAGATCTGAAGGATTAGTGTCTTACGGTTCTGAGTTAGAGAGAATTATTAGAAAAATTAGAAAAAAAGAATTTTGTAATTTCCAAGAAAAGGCAAATACTTTACATAATAGTTTAGAAAATCAAATTGATGAGACTGTACAAAAATCATTAAGAGATTATGCTAACCCTACGGTAGATGAAATTCATCATAGTATATAAACTCCTACCGTACAAGCCAACACATTTGAATTAAAATCAGCTATCATTCAAATGGTACAGAATAAATAGTTTGGGGAACTCCATCTGAAGATCCTTACTTACATCTTGCAAGTTTTCTAGAACTTTGTGCCACATTTCAGTATAAAGGTGTCTCTAACGTTGTTGTTAGACTTAGGCTTTTTTCTTTTTTTCTTAAGGGATAAAGCTAAAAAGAGGTTGAACTCATTATGACCTGGATCTATTAGAACATGGAGTAACCTAGCACAAGAATTATTGGCCAAATATTTTCTACCTTCAATGACTACTAAGCTTAGAAATGATATTACATCTTTTTGTCAGTTTAAAGGGGAATCAATATATGAGGCTTGGGTACACTTTTAAGAACTTAGGAAGTTTGCACATCACTCTTTGCCTGATTGGTTAATAATTTAAACATTTTATAATGGGTTAGTAGGACCTCTTAGTTTTATTATTGATGTTGTTGCTGGTAGTTCATTAATGTCAAAACATTTAGATGAAGCATATTTTTAATTGAAGAAATGACTACTAATAATTTTCAATGATCTTATGAAAGGGTAAATCTTAAAAGAATAGCTGATGTCTATGATTCTGATGTTATTTCTATGTTATCATCTCAAGTAGCTGCAATATAAAAAAAGATAGATCAATTTAGAATGAATTTATCACAAACACCTCTAGTGATTAAAGATAATTCATTATGACAAATAGATGATTCCAACATTCTTATATTTGAGACTTAAATTCAATTAGCAATAAAACTAATAACCCTTATTCTAACAATTACATGATAGGTTGGAAAAATCACCATGACTTTAACTGGAATAATAATTTTAGTGGTGCTTACCAGTAATGGGGGAACAGTCAAGCGAACCCATTGGAAAACAAGAATAACCAGAGTAGTACTAATTATAGACCAATTTATCCTCCAAGATTTAATAGTAATCAATAATTTAAGGAGAAGAAGTTGTATATAGAAAAAATGGTGTTACATATAGGTAATCAATTGAAAAGTCGAGTGACAATTAGAAATATTGAGAATCAACTGGGACAAATTGCCAATGCCATTAGCAATAGTCCTCAAGGAATTCTTCTTAATAATATTGAAATTAATCCTAAAGACCAGAACAAAGAGTAAGTAAAAAATTGTTCAACTAAGAAGTAGAAGAGAATTGGAGATCAGAGTTCAATAAGAGATTGAAGTTGAGAGAAGAGAAGTTGAAAAGTCTTATGAAGATATTCCTTAAGACTTAGAAAAACCTAATTCTCCAACGAAGATCAATTTAGAACAACCACCACCTCTATTTCCTTAGAGTCTTCGACAACAAAAGTTGGATAAACAATTTTCAAAGTTTCTGGAAATATTCAAGATGTTAAATATTCATATATCGTTTGTTGAAGCTTTAGAACAGATACCGAGCTATGTAAAGTTATTGAAGGATATTCTAAATAAGAAAAGGAAGTTTATAGATAATGAGACCTTGGCCTTAGTGAAAAGTGTAGCATGATAATTGTTGACCTCATTTTTGGTTGAGGTCTAGAAACTTCTTTAGTAGCCTAGGTCTAGCCATAAGACTTTCCTATTAACTAGTCTTAGAAACTAGTCTTAGATACCCTCACCATTAGAAACTCAAAAAACTCTTTGCTTTACTCGACTTGAAGTTCCACATCTTTACTCGACTTG